CGGTATGACGCGGTTGGTCTCGGAGACGGCGTGGAGTCGCATGACCTAAGCACCTTCAGGAAGACCGCAGCAGTTTCGTGCAGATGGTTCTTGAACCTGAAATGAACAAACATTTAAATATAATAATAACTCAGTTTTGTTATACTTTTTAATTATATTATATTATATCGTATTAACTTGTTACAATAAATATTATTTATTTCCGAATTGGCTTAAAGAGCCATGTAGTAAGTATTTTTTTCCGCCTTCCTACTCCTCACCTTTTAGGCTATACGGGGGTTTCTGGGACCTGAGATGAGGGTGGGAGATTAAATGCCAGAGTTAAAAGCTTCCTCTCCAGCAGCGGGGATCACCTCGTCATTTTTTTTACCTAATTCTTATATGAGGTTGTAGAGAAACGCGGTGCTGTGCACATACGTTCGCCCGCTGTCCCCGTTTCTTATTACAAAAAAGTATAAATAATATTTTATCTCGACCTTTATAATTAACATTAATAAATGATAAAAAATATTTACTTATTTATAATTTAGCTTGAAATATCCCAAATAGTGCATATGGGTTCACCATATTCAACCTTAGTTATGCTATTTATCTCGATATGTGAGATTTATTTGCCGAATATATTAAGGAACTCCCAATATTACAATGTAATATAATGTTTAGTTATAACTAATTCCTACCTCGCTGCCGCCATGACGCCGAAGATCTCGGAGACCGTGGAATCGGATGACCTGCGAAGATGATACTCCCTGAAGATCGCTGTAGTTTTGGGTATTTATTTCTTGAACCTGAAATGAAAAATATTTTTAAATATAACAATTACACAGTATATTTTTTTATTATTACATTATTAAATATTATTTATGTAATATAAACTACATTATTTATTATATTATTTTACTATATAATATCATATTATATTGCTTCAGTATATAACAATACCAAAGTGTATACTTTGGTAAAGTTCTATCCAATTAATGTTTAAATAGAGCTAATTCATTTTAAACAAACCGCAAAAAAAAAATAAACTAGCTATAATTTATTTTGTATCACTATAGCCCCCATTCTCATAATGATTTGGAAATTTAAAAGTGTTTGAAGTGAGGTTAGGCCGTATTTTTGAATTCCATTGCTAGGTTTTCAGCATGTCCATAATATTTTGTTTTTTAAATTGAAATTATTTTATATTTACGTGCTAACTTTTATAACTATCATTCCATTGGCATTATAACATCGCGCTAAAATCGATTAGGAAGGAAACAGTGAGTAAAAATGTCAACTTGTTGGCAATAAAACGCTGGGACTAACTTTAAACCATATTGGAGTTCACGGGCGGATCTACGGGGGGCTTTCGGGCTGAAGCTCCCCCCCCCCCAAAATGGTAAAATATAACCATGTTTTATCGGAAAAAATACTAAAAAATTATCTCTTAAAGTATAATTATTCGTGTAATTACATTTAAAAGGGCTTTAGGAATCACTTAAACACCAGTTCATATAGGTACTTAGTTTCTTTCGTATTTTCCAAAGTAATTATCGTTACTCTTATGAAAAAAAAAGCTTTCGGGCTGAAGCCCCAACCAAAATTAAATTCTGGATCCGCTAGTGTTGGAGTCGACTTTATTTTTTTTTTCTTCCCTACCCGGAGGATGAGGGCGGGGAATTTAAAATCCAATCCAGCACCGAGACGCGAACTCGTACTTTTTAATCTCATAACTTCGGTTTACTGGTTGCCGGGCAACTCGCGGTGCTGTGGACACGCGTTAACCCTTTCGGCCAACCAGCCGCCGATATTGTGCTCGACTTAAGAGACAACTGTTTTAATAGGAAAAACTATAATAATAGCTTACTTGTTTACTTCAAGTTCCGGGGAAAACCATTATATCTTCCATCCTATATCAGGGAAAAACTATAAATAGAAAAAGTTTTCGGTCATCAGTTTCCTTTCTTTTTTTCCATATAAAATTCTAATGTTATACTGTTAATCAGATGCAGTTAGTCATTCATTATTTATATCATTATATCTATTAAGGAACTTTCAGCCTCTTTGTTTTAAAGACTTAATATGTTCAATTGTCGAGATAAATCGTAATATTTCCTTAAGCCTCTTAAGTGCTATGGATTGCCATGGAATAATTATCATACGTTTAGGTTTTAAAAATTAAAATATTGCTATTTATGATAGTTATCAATGAATTAAAAATATATATTGAAAATTAAATTGAGGAAAAGTAAAATTTCTCTTTGATCCCTTGTGCATTTCGTGCTATATAGAATGAAACCTTGTGATATTTCTAATAAATAGAAAGATATCTAGTATGTTTCAGTACTCCTGGTAATAGATTTCTATACTCTTAGGGAGACAAATAGAATGTCAAGGCTCTCCAGGATCAATCAAAGAGGTCATGAGAGAGTACGATAATGGATGAGTGCAAGTTCACGGATACCTCTGTGTTCTTGTTTAACTGTTAAACTAAAGGGATATTTTACAGTGGGACAAGCTAACCACTATTTAGTAAATTTTTTAAGTTATACGAGATGTGTTGGCATTTATCATAATATTTTTTACAAGATGCACCAATCTTGTACCTTACAGAATAGAAGTAGCGCCAGTGAGGCCTGTGAATGGTCTCATGGTCTCGTTATGATTGCAATATCGTTGCCAGTACGTTGCGACTTTCTGGTAGGTGGTTTTTTTTCCCTCACCACCAACGATTTTATTATAGAATTACAATATATAAATTAACCTACGTTTCTGTATTTTCCATGCAGGTATTCTAAGGTAGCAAGTGCCTTAGGGCAGAACAAGAAAAAAGCTGAAATGGATGCATATGATGTTTATATTGTAATGTTTATAATAACATTTTTGGAAATGGTATAACGTGTATGTGCATAAGTGTATACAAAATAAGGATAGAAATTGCGTGTTGTAATTGACCTGCATTTTAATTTTTAAAAACCTAAAAAAAAATAATATTCCATAATAACTACGTCACCGAGGAGGCTATCGAAGTGAATTACGGTTCATATCGATAATCGTTTCGTTGGATTTAAAATGTCGAAATCTTTAAAACGCAGTTTGTCTCATTATTATCCATTGACCTAACGTCAGAATCTTGAAACCTGCTTATTTTTATAATGACCTTTATTAAACTTCTAGTTGAAATTTAAGGATCGTCATTACTACATGAAATTGGAGAAAAAACTTATTAGGGATGACTTCGATTGAAATGATTGTAAGTTTAAATTTTTGGATATTTTTTTACTTAATACATTAATCAATATTTCGTTTGTAAATAATTTACCAACAGTTTAACAAACCATCATTCCATTTGAGTTCAACAAAAAAATAAATAAATAACCTCGTTATTCGAACTGAAAGGCGGATAGGTTAGATTAGGAAAACACTAATATCAATTATTTAATGAAAAATAAATGATGTATAAAATAATATTTAAAAATGTTTTAATGTTCAAATAATTGCTGATTCCAATGATGTGTTGAACAACTTCGGCCAATATTATTAAACTCACTTTTTTTTTTAAATTTCCATCAGAACTACTAAAAAACATGTAAAGCAACATCTTCAAAAATATTTTTGACATGAGTGGTGCCTGTTTTACATTAACAGCCAGGATCATTATTGCTTTGATATGTAGTTGCATTGAGGACGTAGAAGGTGAAAAGCGGAGTTAGTTGACTTAGTGGTTAGGTTGGCAACTGCTTTTTATTCTCATCACCAACAGTTTCAGTCCCAGCTTGTCTCTGCAGGACATCATATAGGTTGAGCGATGTCCTCTATTACGAAGTGCGAAATAGATTTATAGAAGTTTGATTTTTTTAAAGAAGTGAATGTTTTCATCTATGAAATTCGAAAATCAAGCAATCCATCCATTTTTAGTCGCATTTTTATTATTTTAATATAAATCTCCTTATAGCAGCCATTTCCAACTTATATCTGCTTTGGGGCTGCTTAGTCGACATTATACATTCAATAACATCATATTTAACTAACTTATAAATTACATTTATACATCTTAAACCATTGTGAATATTAATGTTTTATTGAAAATATAAAGACAGACAAAATTTTAGAGATCTAATAGAGAAAAAAAAATATTCAAATGTTAAATTTGTTTTATTTTTATAACATTGATTGTTGTTCCTATATAATGTTTTCCAATACAGAAACCTTATTTTCATTTGTTTTTAAGTCTTTTATGACAGTTTTGTATTTTTTTTTTAACTGTCTCAACCATTTTTTTTCGTTTACAATTTCTAGCATAAGGAAAAGTAGTGAGTTGTTCTAGAAGAAAACCTAAACTTATTCTAAATCAGAGAGGAAAAGTCAAAATTCATTCGGTGGGTACGTCACGAAATAAATTTTAACCCACCCAGGCCGGATTAAAACCGACTCCGCTAGACTCAAGAATGTTAAAGCGGGAAAAACTTAACACAAGTGACCATCACTGACTCCTGTGCCAACCAGCCTTCACACCTTGATTTTTTGTTTTTGAATTTTTTAGCTTATCACTTCTTATGAAGGTTTGAATGAAAAGAAAAAAAATATAGCTCCATCAATGAAGTTAATATTCAAAGAGACCAAGAACGTTTGTACAAATCCATAAGTAGATGAGCCCATTAGAAGGTTACTGAAACATATTAATACATAATTTCAAAATGGTACAATCATCTATTATAGAATACAATTCAGTATAATTTAAACAACCTACCTTATCCTCGCTGCATCCTCGATGATGGCTACTTTCTTAATTTGACATTTCATTCATTCTTCTTCTCTGATATCTTCTTCATTCTTTCAATCTACCCAAAGTCTTAAGACATAAATCTTGTATCTCTGGACCACAAAGGGTGATATTCTGCGGAGGTAACTCGAGAAGATTCTAAGACAAAAAGTCACTCGACGACAAAAAACTCTTCCCGGCCAATAAAGCGATCTCCCCTCTTGAGGACCGAGCAAGCCATCCTCTAAAACCCATCTCATCCCCCGCGAGCAGAGAGCGGCCCTCGCTCTTGCGGGATGATTGAAAGGAGCCGAATCTGACTCTTCGGTACTGGGCCCATACATGGAAGGAGTCCATAGTCATCAACTGCCTTCAAGTCCTCAACCTCCAACCGGAACACTTCAACCCGCCATTTTTCTCCTTTTCTCGGACTTTCTTCTCCCCAAACCGACCCTTTCTCACGAAGCAACTTAAACTCGAAAAGATATTGTGTTGTAACAGAAGAGTCGAAGGAAGGAGAGATCGAAGTATTCTACGATTCGCCAGGTAGGGGATTCGAATCGCATCATCGGAGTGATGTAACCGACTGAGCGATTTTCGTGTCATTGTTGTTCATGAAGAAGAACATCGCTCAATTAACGGAAGTCAAAACTAAAGTGAAAAATTAAACCGAATTTTAGTAAGAATTTTTTTAAAATAGAATTTAAAATACGAAACGTTACAATTTCGTTGATTAAATGAATTATGATAACATAGCGCTTAAAAAATATTTTTTTAAATTCTTTTCTAGTTCGTTAATTATCGCGGTGATAATACAACCATTACATGATAAAATTGTATGCCCTGTTAGAAACTACAGGCAGAAATAATAAAGAAGTTATATGAATTTACATTACTCATAATCGAGACTAAACTAAACTTACTGAATAGGTAACTATCTGAAAGAAATAATTACAAGATAGTTCTTAGGTCATTGGCTTTTTAGCTATTAGTGTATTTGGAAAACAGCTTATTCTCAGGTACTAGTAAAACATCAAACCAAACTATCCCTTAAATTTAATACCTCTCACTATATCTAGCTTGGTTTGATTTCCTTTAGCGCCTGAAAAATAAGACTTTCAACCATGACTAATAAAAGCCAATGTTGGGCTGGGAATAGAGCATTAAAAAGCTCTCAAAGGATTGGGATGCAAAGAAATAAAACATTTCTTTATTTATGAAGTTTTCCACAGTTATTTTTTAAAGACAGATCTGCAATTGTTACAATAGATGATATCATTGAAATCCAAGCAGATGCAGACATAACTCCAGTGAAATTTAAGTAGTGGTGGTTGCGGGGATTGTTGTGAGGCTAATATAAAAGCCTTAGGTTGCTAAGGGATAAATGGTCACAAAAGACCTAGAAGGGAATGCCTAACCAACGGCTAGGGAAATTATATATCCCTAAAATAAGATAATCACAATTCCAACCACCACAGTACAATTATTAGTTTCAACTACCACTAGGTGAGCGATGGTCTCCTTCGTGTACAACTGTGACACGAGAACTGTTCAGTAGCCACATCGCTTTGATGATACGATTCGAACCCCCAAACACGACGGATCGCGGAGTACATCGATCTTTTCTTCCTTTGATTCTCCTGCTACAGCACGACATCTGGTCGAGTAAAAGTAACCTCAAGAGATAGACTCAGCAAGGAGACAAGAAGATCCGGGAAAAGGAGAAGAATGGCGGACCGAAGGGTCCGGAGGAAGTTGAGGACTTGAAGAACGCCGATGACCGTGGACCCGCTCCGAGATGAGCCGAACACCGAAGAGCTGGATCCGAACCCTTTCGACCATCCTGCGAGATCGAGGACTGCAGACCACTCACGAGGGAATGAGCTGAACTTCAGGAGATGGCCTGCCAGGTCCTCCAGAGAGCGAATCGTTCAGTCCACCGAGAAGAATCTTCGGCCATCCAGTGAGTCGAAGAATCCTTCGCAGCTCTTCTACAGAATACTCCACCCTCAGTGGTAAAGAGTTCCTGCAGGCTTCTTGCTTCTTACATTTGGCCGTATAATTGGTTTCCAGTGATTCCTAGGAACAGAAAAAAATAATAAAACAATTAATTATTTAATCGACTTCAAATATTTTTTTTATTTGAAATTAACCATTATTTTGTGAAAATATGTTTATACAAGATATGTTTTAGATGGGCCTATTTAAGCAATATCTAAACAACATTGTCCATTTCCATATTTGTAACAGCTGAGAATAGAAGGAGAAAATAATGTTCCAAGTTAACTAGCCACAAGGAAATCAGAATTCAAATATTTTAATTTACAATTTATACAGAACATAATTTAACTTACTTATTTTATAAAGATCAACTAAAATATTTAAATATTTGTAATACACGCTTGTATAAACATATCAATTTAAACTGCATTACTACCTTTTAAATTTAAGTACTTTGTTTTATACAGATTGAAAACGTTTTATTATTAATGAGATAGTTTAAGAATAATAACGAATTAAATGTTAACAAACTGTTATTATGGCAAGATATAATATATGGCATGACTAATTGTAAGTTCGAAGTATCGAAGCAGTTGGGTTATAATAAACTAAAGAAATATATCTATTTCTTCAAGGCAACAGGAAAATTACTAAATATGCATATCCGTGCTTGTATGTACATAAATTAATTGGTTAATTTAACAAGCAATAACATTTATGTTACAATTTCAACTATACCTGATTTCTAAATAGTAGAGAAACCTTTCCATTACATTCTAAAAAGTTTAAAATCAATATTCTTCCATAGATGCAGCTATATATTTAATTTATCAAAGAGCTGTAACAGTTATAGCGAAGTGCGTTGTTACAGAACAAAGAACTAGACTGAGGTCGAAGTACAAGAGTAGGGTACAATGTTCAAAGGAGTGGGGCTATATTTCAATTTAATTTTTTTTTATTTTCTAACATAACTGGACCATTATTAAATAAATGGGTTCATAATTGTAGCTAATATATGAAGGTTTGGTTAATTTAACAAGCAATAACATTTATGTTACAATTTCAACTATACCTGATTTCTAAATAGTAGAGAAACCTTTCCATTACATTCTAAAAAGTTTAAAATCAATATTCTTCCATAGATGCAGCTATATATTTAATTTATCAAAGAGCTGTAACAGTTATAGCGAAGTGCGTCGTTACAGAACAAAGAACTAGACAGAGGTCGAAGTACAAGTGTAGGGTACAATGTTCAAAGGAGTGGGGCTATATTAAAATTTAAATTTTTTTTATTTTCTAACATAACTGGACCATTATTAAATAAATAGGTTCATAATTGTAGCTAATATATGAAGGTTTGGTTAATTTAACAAATAGTAATACTTATTTTATAATTTGAGCAGTACATTTTTCCAAAATTGCTGCGTAAATTTTCATTATTTTCTTAAATAGTTTAAAATTCACTATTCATTTATAGATGCAGTTGAACTTTTGATTTATCAAAGAGCTATAACAATTATAACAGACTGAGAGAGAAGTACAAGTGTTGGGTACATTGTTACAGTGCCTATATAGAAAATAAAGAAATTTAGTTATTTTTTAACATAATTGGACAATTATTGAATATTTATATCCATGCCTATACTATATAAATTAAGAATCGGTTAATTTAGCAAGCAGAAATATTTATTTTATAATTTGAACAATACCTTATTTCTGAATTGCAGCATAAAAGTTTCCATTACTTTCATAAATAGTTTAACAATCACTATTCATTATTATATGCAGTTTAACTCCTGGTATATCAAAGAGCTATCTATAACAATTATTGCGAAGTGCGTCGTACAGAACAAAGAACTAGACTGAGGTCGAAGTACAAGTTTAGGGTACAATGTTCAAAGGAGTGGGGCTATATTAAAATTTAAAAATTTGTTTATTTCCTAACATAATTGGACCATTATTAAATATGTATGTTCATGATTGTAGCTAATATATGAAGATTAGGTTAATTTAACAAGCAGTAAACTTTATTTTATAATTTGAGCTGTACATTTTTCCAAAATTGCTGCGTAAATTTTCATTATTTTCTTAAATAGTTTAAAATTCACTATTCATTTATAGATACAGTTGAACTTTTGATTTATCAAAGAGCTATAACAATTATAACAGACTGAGAGAGAAGTACAAGTGTTGGGTACATTGTTACAGTGCCTATATAGAAAATAAAGAAATTTAGTTATTTTTTAACATAATTGGACAATTATTGAATATTTATATCCATGCCTATACTATATAAATTAAGAATCGGTTAATTTAGCAAGCAGAAATATTTATTTTATAATTTGAACAATACCTTATTTCTGAATTGCAGTATAAAAGCTTCCATTACTTTCATAAATAGTTTAACAATCACTATTCATTATTATATGCAGTTTAACTCCTGGTATATCAAAGAGTTATCTATAACAATTATTGCGAAGTGCGTCGTACAGAACAAAGAACTAGACTGAGGTCGAAGTACAAGTTTAGGGTACAATGTTCAAAGGAGTGGGGTTATATTAAAATTTAAAAATTTGTTTATTTCCTAACATAATTGGACCATTATTAAATATGTATGTTCACGATTGTAGCTAATATATGAAGATTAGGTTAATTTAACAAGCAGTAAACTTTATTTTATAATTTGAGCTGTACATTTTTCCAAAATTGCTGCGTAAATTTTCATTATTTTCTTAAATAGTTTAAAATTCACTATTCATTTATAGATACAGTTGAACTTTTGATTTATCAAAGAGCTGTAACAATTATAACAGACTGAGAGAGAAGTACAAGTGTTGGGTACATTGTTACAGTGCCTATATAGAAAATAAAGAAATTTAGTTATTTTTTAACATAATTGGACAATTATTGAATATTTATATCCATGCCTATACTATATAAATTAAGAATCGGTTAATTTACCAAGCAGAAATATTTATTTTATAATTTGAACAAGACCTTATTTCTGAATTGCAGTATAAAAGCTTCCATTACTTTCATAAATAGTTTAACAATCACTATTCATTATTATATGCAGTTTAACTCCTGGTATATCAAAGAGCTATCTACAACAATTATTGCGAAGTGCGTCGTACAGAACAAAGAACTAGACTGAGGTCGAAGTACAAGTTTAGGGTACAATGTTCAAAGGAGTGGGGTTATATTAAAATTTAAAAATTTGTTTATTTCCTAACATAATTGGACCATTATTAAATATGTATGTTCACGATTGTAGCTAATATATGAAGATTAGGTTAATTTAACAAGCAGTAAACTTTATTTTATAATTTGAGCTGTACATTTTTCCAAAATTGCTGCGTAAATTTTCATTATTTTCTTAAATAGTTTAAAATTCACTATTCATTTATAGATACAGTTGAACTTTTGATTTATCAAAGAGCTGTAACAATTATAACAGACTGAGAGAGAAGTACAAGTGTTGGGTACATTGTTACAGTGCCTATATAGAAAATAAAGAAATTTAGTTATTTTTTAACATAATTGGACAATTATTGAATATTTATAT